ATATCAGGCACTTCATTTCTCTTTATGGTGAAATAATATTCCATAGTATGGTTGTAATCACGGTTTGTTTACCATTCACCAATTGATGGACATTTGGGTTATTTTTGCTTTCAGGTTATGAATAATACCAGATTCTCTTCATCTTTTATATAAGGTATTTCCTTTCAAAATTCAGGTTTCTGTCTTCAAATGATTTTTTTCTATCATATATTTAAAATATATGTACTTCTTTTCAGTTTGTTATGATGTCTGCTTTAACAGCATTAGTTTTTCATCTATTGAAAATTTCTGTGTCTTTTATTCCTCTTGAGTGATTTCCATCTCTGTTCTATTCTTTGGATTTAACCTTCATAGCACTGATTCAGCCTTATGTTTTAATTTTTTTATTTTCTGATTCTATTATAATATTTACTTTTGAAAAAAGTTTTGAAGTGTTTACTTTTCCTCAGTAGTATTTTTCCTTCATTCTGAATAGGTATTATCTTTCCTCAGTGTTTCAGCCCTACTTCTGAACCTGTCAGTTGCAAATGACTGAGGTGATCACTATTCCCATTTTTATTCCTTTTGTACTTAATGAGTATATTGTGGGGAAATTCTTTGAGATTATGTAAATATCCTATTTCTCACCATACTATCATCACCTACAATTTTATCATACATTGATTATTCTTACCTGAAAGAACTATTTTTAAAGTGCTTTCCAAATGGTGATTTTTACTCCATCATTTCTTCTGCATTTATTAACTATAAATTTTTTTGTTAAGTATAAGGAAGAGCTGCCCTTTCTCCCTCATTTATTTGTTAATTCAATTATTTGTTTATAACAGTGTGAACCTATGGATATGTATTTTATTTTTATGGCTTACATTAAATTACTATCATTTATTTTAGTAATTGCTCTAGTGTTCGCTTTGGGAACCCCTTCAAATTGGCTTCTGTGTCCTTTAGCATGACTCCATCAATTTCTGAGCATGTCCTTATTTTCTGTCACTACAGAATATTTCATACTCTTCTTTGTATGTTTTGTATTTTCCTTGCCTGAGTCTTGGAATCAACTATTTTTGCAGGAAGGCATTGTTCCTTGTATTTGAACCTTGTATTTAGAACCATGGTCCTGGAGTTAAGTATGCTCACTTGTTCTGGGGTACTATTGTTTCTTTCTATTTGTTAAAAAGTACTTTTTAAAAATTAAATCACCAGGTATATTCTTACTCCCTTTTTTGGAATGTTACTATCTTGCTTTAACTGAAATTTGATATATCCTGAAAACTGTCCGCTAGGGAAGTATTGACTATTATCTTTCCCAATGTTAATATCTTAGAATCTAGACATGGGGTTAGTATCTGCCTTGCTCCCTTTGACATTGACAAATAATTTGTTTTCATTAGCTGGTTAAAAATGTCATCTCTATTGAAACAATATTCCACTTCTTGTTTCTGCCTTTTATGGAAATCCTGTGCACTCCATTTAATATTTTACACATTTAATAGTTCTTTTACCTGCCTCATTGTCTTCTTATTGTCTCTATTAACATCATTCTTGACTTCAATTTCTACATGTACTTTAGTTAAGTAGTGATTATCATGTATTCAGTTTATAAAAAGGCTTACAGGACTCAACACTGTACTCTCAGGACAGTTTATTCTAAGCAAAGAATATGAATTGAAAGGGGTCTGGAGGTAATAGATAGTGGGGCTAACCATGTACTTATAGTAATTAAGGCCGTGTGCTGTTTTTTGGTGGAGAGATAGACATAATCACCAATGTTATACAGTAGTCCCAAAATAAGCATGTAGGTATTTATATTTTTATATTATATCTGGTTACATACTGGAATTGTTTATTATTTTAGTAGCTTTTATTTGTTTTATATTTCTTGGTAAATAATCTGATTTTAGACATAAAAATATAACTGTTTTTTTCCTTTATTCTAACTTCAAATCTGTCATCTATTCACTGCCAGACCTATTTCCATTTTTGTATTTTTTCTCTTAGTTGTAGTATGTGTATGAAAAAAATTTTTTCAAGGTGAAGGTGTAGATCATATACTTTTCGGACCTTTGCTTACCTGAAATTATCCTTATGTTGTTTTTCTATGTATATAACATGGCTGAGTACACATATTCCACAAATTCTGCCTTGGTTTCATGTGTTTTGACGTATGTTGTTACTTAAGAAAACTTGGCATCTTGCTTAATCATTGTTTATAAATAATTTGTCTGTGTGAATGTGCTTGTGTGTGTGTGTGTGTGTGTGTGTGCGCGCATGCGTGCACATCTCCGCACATGCCCACATGGATAGGCCTGGATGTCAAAGCACTTTTTTTATGACAAATTTATTGAAATATAATTCATATGCCAAAACCTCACCCTTTTAAAGAATACAATTTAAGGGTTTTTTTAGTATATTCATAAAGGTGTGCAACCATCACCATTCATTTGAGAACATTTCCATCACTCTAGGAGAAATCGTCTACATTAGCAGTCGCTCCTCATTCTCCCTTCCTCCAGCCCCCGGCAACCTTTCTTCTGTCTCTGGGTTTGTTTACTCGCCATATCACATAAATGTGATCTTTTGTGGTCTTTTGTGACTGGCTCCTTTTGTTTATCATGTTTTCAAGGTTCATCCATATTATATCAGGTATATCAGGCACTTCATTTCTCTTTATGGTGAAATAATATTCCATAGTATGGTTGTAATCACGGTTTGTTTACCATTCACCAATTGATGGACATTTGGGTTATTTTTGCTTTCAGGTTATGAATAATACCAGATTCTCTTCATCTTTTATATAAGGTATTTCCTTTCAAAATTCAGGTTTCTGTCTTCAAATGATTTTTTTCTATCATATATTTAAAATATATGTACTTCTTTTCAGTTTGTTATGATGTCTGCTTTAACAGCATTAGTTTTTCATCTATTGAAAATTTCTGTGTCTTTTATTCCTCTTGAGTGATTTCCATCTCTGTTCTATTCTTTGGATTTAACCTTCATAGCACTGATTCAGCCTTATGTTTTAATTTTTTTATTTTCTGATTCTATTATAATATTTACTTTTGAAAAAAGTTTTGAAGTGTTTACTTTTCCTCAGTAGTATTTTTCCTTCATTCTGAATAGGTATTATCTTTCCTCAGTGTTTCAGCCCTACTTCTGAACCTGTCAGTTGCAAATGACTGAGGTGATCACTATTCCCATTTTTAGGCACTATATTTACTTGTGCTATGACACTAAATTCTGTTTTTATTCCTATCTCGTGGGTTTCCCCCTCTTAGTCTCCTTTACTGGTACCTTGTGAGGATCCACTTATTTAACATTGGTCTGCCTCATCCCTAGGACCTCTTCTCTATCTACAGCTGGTGATTTCCAGGCTCCATGGATTTAAATTCCATCTCAAACACTGACAAATTCCAAATTGTTATCTAGTAGACATGCTCTTGAGCTCAACTCAACATATCACTTGGTTATTTAATAACTCAAACTTAGCATCTTCAGAATTAAGCTCCTAACTATTCACACAACTTCCAACAACAAAAGCCCTGTTCATCCTACCCATCTCAGTTCACACTGACATTTTGGTTGATCTTGGATCAATAACAAACAAAAAAAACCCCACTTTTCGTTTCTTTCTTTCAAATGCTGTATCTATTAATTGTCTAATCCTGAATGTTGTACCTTCCAAATACATTCCATGTGTCTGACCTCTTCTCATAACCTCCAGTGCTTTTATCCTCGCCACCATCCCCTCTGGCCTACATTCCTGCCGTGGCCTCTTTACAGTTAAGTCTTATTTTTTTCTGGGAGGTTTTTGTACCTGTTTCTTCTGTCTGGACTATGTTTTCACTAGAAAACTCCATGGCTTATGTCTTTACTATCTTTGCTCTCTAAGTGCTCCTTTTCAAATGGTAAACATACTCCTACCCTGATGGCAATTTCCCTTCCCTTCACTGGTTTATTCTTCTTCAAAACAATTGTCATCATCTGTTACACTATATACTTTAATTATTTATTAATTTATGGGTCCCTCCAATAGAATATAAGTTTTATGAGAATAGGATTTTTAATCTTTTTTGTATTTCCAGTGCCTAGAACAGTACTGGCCTGTTGAATTTACCTTTGCAGTTTCTGGCAGTCATAAAATTCGGAACTGTGAGCCTATTGCAATATCACATATAAGGATGCCTCTAAATTCTTACAAAGGCGAAGTGTTCCCTTACACTAAGTTATTCAAGAAATACATAGAGTGTATCTTATAAAGTATATAGTAAGCAGCATAAAGAATGATGCCATGATAATTTTAACAGTAAATCCAGTGATATTGCTATCTTCACTTTTTATTTTAATAGTGTTTAATGACTGAGGGTATAACCTGAAAGGCATATATCCAAAAAATAGAAGCCATCTCTGTTTAAAATCATTTGAAATATTTTGTAAAGGTGACAGTATAACATAATAAGTAATTCTTCACCCTAGTATAATATATGAAGCTATTTATGACGTATAAACATTCAAATGTTTCACCTTGGTTTCATATGATGAAGTATTATTTAGCTATTGAAATTCATGTTTGCAAAGGATTTTGGTTTTATGAAAGTTAGATACCACAATGTATGCCTATCATTCTATCTAAAAAATTTTAACTGAAATAAAATGCACCAAAATATTACCTGTATTTTTCTCTGGTAAGAGTACAGATGATTTATATTTTCTTACTTCTGAGTAGTTTCCAGAATGTCTACAATGTTTGTAGAACTTTAGTAATGACAACAGAAGTAATAAATGAATCACTAAAGATTGAGTACTTTTTCTACATCTGTATTTTACTTTTTTCTTCTACATCTGTATTGCTGCTTGATGACAAAGATTTATATTTGCCAGTGTTGAATAGGCCACTAGGAATGAATGATAATTACTTTGAATACTGATATACAGTATGCTTTCACCTAACTTTTGTTTACTAAACAGTTTTTAAAAGTACATATTGTATTTCTTTTCCCCCACAGACAGCCTTTTGATTGACTATCAGTTTACCTTCAGCTTATTACAGGAAGATGATCGCCACCATACTGCCATAAATTTCATAGCAAACCCAGAACAGGTGAGAAGATAATTTAACTTTTTAACATAATTATATTAATATCAAGGTATACAACTTTTCATCATCTTTCATTTATATCTTCTCAGAATTATTCTGTAGGGCTTTTGTAGAAAGATTAATCTGTTAATCTTAAAACATAGGCATCCTTGTGATTCAGAGAATTTGTGAATTTGATGTTTCAGATTTCACATACAGTCCTACAATTTAAGTGATATATTATTTTAATTATATTTTCAGACTTATGACACTGTGCCTCTAATTATGCTCTTAAACTGGAAGTAGTCCTATTTGAAAATAAAATCCATAAATTTAAAACATGCTATATTCCCGTTTTCTTATACTCTGTTAGATAGTCAGTTTTCATTGTCTTTTTTCTAAATCCACTGGTTTTTCTGAGTATATGAACACTGGCTTGTTTTTCTCTTTAATTTTTATTGAGCTATAATTGACATACTACATTGTGTAAGTTTAAAGTGTGCAACATGTTGATTTGATAAATTACATATTCTACTATGATAACCACTATAGCATTTGGAAACACCTCTATCTTGTCACATGATTATCATTTCTTTTTTTGTGGTGTGAATAAAATCTAACCTCAGTTTTGAAGTTTACAATACAGTATTGTTTTTGTAATCACTATGCTGTTCATTAGATCTCAGGCTTATTTATCTTGTAAGTTTGTACCCTTAAACACTATCTTCCCAGTTACCCAACCCCCACCCCGTGGTAACCACCATTCTACTCTCTGTTTCTACGAGTCTGGCTTTTTTCGATCCTACATGTAATGACATCATATAATATTTGTCGTTCTCTGACTTATTTCACTTAGCCTAATGGAATGTTAGCTTCTTTTTAACAACATATGGTATTAGTGATACAGTTTTGTAAGTTTATGAAATTTAAAGGTATGAAAGATTAATTATGAATATTAATACCAGACCACCAATTCAGGAAGAGGCTCCAAGTTTGTTTAGAAATAATACACATATAATGTCCATCTGAGACTTTATAAAGTTAAAAAAAACAGGGAATGGAAATATCAACCATATAGTTTCTTTGGGTAGAATTTTAGTTCTTTTGAAACTAAAAATAATTCTTTCAAAATGAAGATGTCATGTGAAATTTTGTATTACTCTTTTTGTGGTTAGAACATGAAATCTACTCTAACATGTTTTTAAGCGTACAATACAGTATTGTGAACTACAGGTTCTAAGTTGCACAACAATCTCCAGAATGGATTAATCTTATGTACTGACTCTGTAAATGCATTAAACAACTCCCCATGTCCTCCTCCCCCCACTTCTTGCAACCACCGATATGTTCTCTGTACTTACAAGCTTGAGGTTTTTTTTGATTGTTTATTGCTTTTAGATTATACCTGTGAGAACAAATGGTATTTGTCTTTCTCTAATTTATTTCACTTGGCATAATGCACTCAAGGCCCATCCATGTACTGGCAAATGGCAAGATTTCCTTCTTTTTTATGGTTGAATACCATTTCATTTGATACATACATATATATGTATATGCCACAATTTCTTTATCCTTTCATCTGTTCTTGGACACTTAAGTCACTTCTGTATCTTGGTTGTAAATAATGTTACAGTGAACCTGGGCTGTCTGAGTTAATGATTTTGTTTCTTTTGAATACATACCCAGAGTGGCATTTCTGGATCTTATGGTAGTTCTATTTATAAGTTTTTGAGGAATTACCATTCTGTCTTCCATAGTGACTACACCAATTTACATTCCCACCAACAATGCACAAGGGTTCCCTTTACTCCACATCCTTGCCAGCACTTGTTATTTCTTGTCTCTTTAATAATAGCTGTTCTAACAGATGTGAGGTAATACCTCATTGTGGTTTTGATTTGCATTTCCTTGGTGATTAGTGAGGTTGAGCATCTTTTCATGAACCTGTTGGGCCATCTGTATGTCTTCTTTGGGAAGATGTCTATTCAGATCCTTTGTTCATTGTTTAAACAGATTGCTTGTGGATTTTTTTTTTTTTTTGCTGTTGAGTTGTATGAGTTCTTTATATATTTTGGATATTAGCCCCTTAGCAGATCTATGATATATAAATATTTTCTCCCATTCATTAGGTTTCCTTTTCATTTTATTATTTCCTTTGCAGTATAAAATCTTTTTAGTTTGATGTAGTCCCAGCTTGTTTATTTTTGCTTTTGGCGTAAAATCTAAAAAATCATTGCCAAGATTGATGTCAAGGAGCTTTCACATCTTCTTAATCCCTTCATCTGTCAATGGATATTTGGATCATATCCCTCTCATGATGATTGTGAATAATGCTGCAGTGAAGATAGTGGTGCAGCTGTCTCTTCAAGAGCCTGATTTAATTCTTTTGGATACATATTCCAAAATGGGATTATGTGATCATATGGGAGTTCTGCTTTTGCTTTGAGAAACCTTTATACTCCTTTCCATAATGGCTACACCATTTTTACATTCCCACTAGTAGTTCACAAGAGTTCCAGTTCCTCCACCTCCTCTCCAAAGCTTATCT